TAGAAATTTTGGAATATACGCTGCAAATGGGTGAATCACACGGCCTTTGAATTATTCTGCAGCAAAACTGTTGTTTTGATTTTTCAAGTGTTGAAATTGCGGTTGATCCAGGATGCTGAGGAGGGCAACTCATGCAGTTGAGGGTGTGCTAGGGACTTCCTGTGTTTGTGGCGCTGCCCTTGCTGGTCTCACTTCCCGGAGCAGCTTTCTGGAGGCTGTGACGTCCCAGGTGTGTTCGGGGTGTAGAGGCCCCCGACACCGAGATCAGCTTCCCCTGAGTACCAGTGTCCTCTCGTTTCCTTTGAAAAATATGATTTGTTGTCCTTTTTAAAAACTATATTTTCTAGTAAGCAGTGCTACGTAGAATTCCTACGGGGATGGAAAAAGAAAAGGAAAGTACTGATTGTTTTTTTAAAGACAAGAAAAACCAAGTTTCTCTTGCAGTGTTTAGTCTACTCTTTTCATAGCTCCCTGATTTCCTTGAATTTTGGTGAGAACAAAGTGGTAACCAGTGGTGTTTCTGATGGCTCGGAGGGCAGCAAGCTAACTCTTGAGGGTGTGGCCAAAACCACTGGACCTCACTTGACAAGAATCCCAACAAAATTGGGGCACTCACCCCCTAACTCTCATACCTACCTTTACTATAAAAGAAGTAAATAAATAAATAAGAAAAAAACAGTGGAAAGTATAAGGTCACTCATTGTTTTCCTGAGGCCTTGAGCCTCACGACTTAATCACTGCTCAAAGTTCCCACTTCTTAAACACTGGGGGTTAGATTTTTCCACATGGATTTTGGAGGGACAGACACATTCAGACTGTAGCACCCACATACCCTGCAGAGAATATGACCCTTCCCTTCTACCTGGAATATTTTTACTGGTTTTATTTCTCTCTTGCACATGGTTTACGGTGTTTTGTTAGTCTACAGCTCTTTATTTAATCATGTGTAATGGTCATGTCAAGAAACCTGTGATTCACAATTTAAAATTTTTTCTTGTCATCTTTGTTAGATCCCACATATTAAGGAGAACATGTGATGCTTGTCTTTCAGAGCCTGGCTTATTCTGCTCCAAGTCCATCCATTTTCCTGCAAAGGACAGAATTTTATTCTTCCTTATGGCTGAATAATACTCCCATATGTATAGATACCATTTTCTTTATCTATTCCTCAGTTAATGGGCAAGTGTGGGCATGGCTCTTGTGAACTGTGCTGCAGTAAACCTGGATACGCAGGCATCCTGACAGTATTTTGACTTTAATTTCTCTGTGTATGTGCCCAGGGTTGGTATGTAGCTGGATCAAATGGTAGCTGTAGTTTTAGTTTTATGAGGAAATTCCTTACTGATTTCTACAGTGGTTGTACTAATTTACATTGCACAGGAAGTGCAGAAATTTCCTTTTTGTCTCAAAGTTTACATTCATTTGTTTATTTGATTTTTTTTAAAAGACGGGGTCTTGCTATTTAATTCAGGCTGGACTCAAACTCCCTATTTAGTCCAGGCAGGCCTCAAACTCATAGCAATTGTCCTGCCTCAGCCTTCTAAGCACTGGGATGACAGGCGTGCGCCACCAGGTCCATCTTACCAATCCATGATTCAAAAGACATCCTTTAGCGCTAGCTTCTGTGCAGTGGACATCACATCAGGTGTGGCACAGGGAAAGGGACACAGTGTGGACAGTTGCTTCCCAGGTGGCCAGAGGTGAACGGTGACAATAGATCTGAGGCTGTGGCAGGATGAATGGGTGGGGTATGAAAACATTTCCTATAGATGTTCACGGCCCACTCAGGAAGGAAACCGAGATAACGTTCTGACCTTCCTGAAGAAGCATAGGATATGTGAGGACTGGGTTCGGTGGGTGTCAAAAGCAAGAGCAACACGGTTCCCAGTAAACCTGGTCCCAGGGTTTGAAACTGAAAAAGACGGGTAGGTCCAGGATTACACACAGCACGGTTTACTGGGGACTGGCTGACAGCAAGGCCAGTAGATCCCCAAGATTTGCATCAGAAGAAGGAAGGGGTTTATAAAATGATCGGGACAGGAGTGACCTCATCTGTTTCAAACATACTTTAGTGTCTATGGCTAATTTTTCTCGTTTATGCTGGTAGTTTATCTTAGTTCATTGAAATGAAAGTTTTGTGTTATTATCTACTTGTTTCTTCTTTGTAAATGTTTCTTGTTCTATTTTTTTTTTTTTTTTTTTTAGTACTGGGGATCGAACTCGGGTCCTTGTGCTTGTGAGGCAGGCAGCAGAACCACTGAGCCAAATCCCCGGCCCTAGTTCTATGTTTTTCACTGAGTACTTTGAAGACAAGGATACACAGTGTATTAACTATTGTTATTCTCTTATTATTTTGTTATGAAATTTTGTTCCATGATTTCATTTAAAAAAAATGAATGTAAAACAAAACAAAACAAAGAGCAACCTCAAAGCCAGAATGGACCTGGTGTCTCCCAAGATAACAGCAAAGGTGTCAGGCACAGTCCAGGTGCTGATGGCGCTGGGGTCAAGTTATAAAGCTCTATGTGTCACTGTGATGGTTTTGTTTATTTTTAATTCATTGGAAACAGGCCAGTTTTCCATGGGGCCATCTTGGTGGGTAGAACTCAAGACAGCTGTGGCAAAGTCCAGCCGCAGATCTCTGCAGACCCCTTTGGAGAGCACATGAAAGTGCAGATAAACCTTCTATACCTGCTTGGCTACAGCAGCTGTGCTCCTCCCATACTGCAGGATGGAATCATCCTGAGACCTTCAAAAGTACTGATGCTGAGGTGGGTATGGTGATGCACACCTGTAATCCCAGCACTCTGGGAGGCTGAGACAGGAGGATCTCAAATTGCAGTCCAGCCCAGGGAATTTAGTGATTTAGCAACACCCTAACTTGCAATCAAAGATTTAAAAAAGGGCTGAGGGTGTATCTCAGTGCAAAGGCCCTGGATTTAATACCACCAACAAACTGATGCTGGAATCTTAAATTTACAGCTAGAATTAATTGGGCTTGGGGAGGCCTGGGCCCTGACCTTTCTAAAGCCCAATCGGTTACATTGTGCAGCTGTGGTTGAACCCCTGGCTTGTGAGACAGAGCAGGTGGCTTGAGGCCAGTCCAGTGGGCGGTGGTTAACCCCATGGGTAAGTTTAGTGAGATCCTTCCACAGGCCTTTGCTGCCAGAAACAGCCCACAGTGCTCCCCTTAGAGGCCTTTCAAGCAAACCAGACCCTGTTTTCTGATAGAATGTCCTAAAAGTGGCCCTAATGCTGAAACCCCTTCTTGTCCCTGAATTCCTGGAATTTTTTAGTGGGTGGGAGTCTTCCACCTTCCCTTCTGGCCACAAAGTTTACAGGCTCACAAGACAGTTGCACCCATCCTCTATAACACAGTGGCCTTTGCCGCACACTGGGATGAACTCTTAGTTTGGCTCCTAGGCTGCCTTGGGCTATTGTTAAGTGGTTTCAGATGTTTCTGATGAAAGTTCAATCATCAAGAATAAATGAGAGCCAGGGGTGGTGGTGCACAACTATAATGCCAGCACTCTGGGAGGCTGAGGCAGGAAGAGTATAAATTCCAGCCCAGCCTGGGTAATTTAGTGACTGTCAAAAAAAAAAAAGAAATACATGAGATAATATATGTGTTTTGTTTACCTCAAAGTCTGACATATATAAGCATTTAACACAGGCTACCTTTGTCCGTGTACTGCTTATGTTGTAAAAAGATCCAAGTACATTTATGAGGAAGATGATTGCTGTCCTAATTCTCCAGTCCTCCCTCAAATACTTCTAGGATGTGGGGCGAGCAGGAGTGTGCCGGCTTCGGAGTGCACCCAGCAAAATGCAAGCACGAAGAACTCAGTAGCCGAGGCAGGAATAAGGTCCCCTCTATTCATGCCGCATGTCCTCGCCGGCATCCTTGGCGCTGCCTAAATGCCATTAGCCCTTTTTCTCTCTCGTGTCGCTCCTGCGTCCTCGGAAGCCAGCCAGGGCGCAGGCTCAGCCACTGCCCCCATGAGCTAGTGCGCATGCTCTGCCCGCTGTGTGCCCAGGGCCTCTCTGCTGCCTCAGAGTCGCCTCAGCTGGAGCTGTGTCCTTGCCTGCGTGTGGCTGAACCCCTAGGAACACCTTCGCTGTGGGGCTGGGGAGGAAACCTTGCCTATTAGAAAGATATCTATGCTAAGGTTAAGCACAAAAGGAATGTGGAAATCCCAGTTATTTTTCTGAGACAAAAACCCATTATCAGCTCATTTTCAAAACACTTGTTTTGAGACAGGCCTCGAAGTCACAAAGATTCCCCCGCCTCAGCCTCCCGAGTGCTGCAATTACAAGCATGTACCCCCATACCCGGCTAAACCCTGCATTTTGAACACATACGTAATGAATACATGTTGGAATAATGACTATTTTTAAGCATATCCATTTACATTACAATTTCTCCCCAATTTATTTAAAAAATGTTCAATCTTTAGGAAGTTTTATGCCCAGATAGCCTTCGTGTGCCTAGATTACTAGTAACATTGCCGTATTTACTTTCATCCTATGTGTGCGTGGACACGGGCGTCCATGCACATACACACCTTGACATCTCTGACATTTAGAGGTGTCACTTGATAGCGAGGCATAGTTTAAGGGACAACATATCCTTTTTCCTACAGTGGTTCAAATACATTTTATAATTGATGGCATCGTCAGTTCAACAGTCAACAGAACCGGTAACGTAGCAGGGCATGATGATGTGTGTCTGTAACTCAGCACTGGGGAGGCAGAGGCAGGGGGAGGGGGAGGAGTTCAAACTGAGCCTGGCTTGGGCAATTTAGCAATTGAGTGAGACCCTGTCTCAAAAGAAAGAAAACAATCACACACCTACCACTCTGAGATGTAGTTTTCTAGTAATGAGGTCACATTAAGAATCTCAACACACTTGTCCACATCTCATATTAGCAATGTATTTATTCTTCAACCTAAAATATCAAGCGCTTTAATTTTTTTTTTCTTTTTTTTGGTACGAGGGATCAAACCCAGGACCTTGCGTTTTCAAGGCAGGCAGTGGAACCACTGAGCTAAATCCTCCAATCACATCAAGAGCTGTAACATACTTTAACTTCAGTTTTTCCTCTCCTTGCATTTTAGTTGTTTGTAAATCTCATTCTTGTTTCATTTTTAAAAAATTCACACTGTGCATATTTTTTGGGGTATAACACGATGTTTTAAAACATGTCTACATTGGCTAAGCCAAGCTAATGGACATGTGCGATGCCTCACAGACCTAACATTTTTCATGTCAAGAATACTTAAAATCTACTTTCTTAGTTACTTACAGGAATACAATACACTGTTATTTAAGTAGAGTCATCATGCTATAAATAGATCTCTCATTTAAATTATTATTGTCTTGTACAATCAATGTTTGTTAAAATAAACCAACATGTTTATCAATGTTTTTCCTATTTTTCTCTTTTTCTTAAAAGTACGATTTGCACCCGGAATCCATTTCCTTCTCCCGGAAATAACCCTTTAGATCTTTATCTGATGCAGGGCTTCTGATGTCAAACTCTCAGCTTTTGTTTCCCCGATTCTTTAGAGCTTTTCCTGAAAGATACTTTTTGTAGTTTTTTCCTGAAAGATACTTGTTGCAGAGTGAACAGCTCTAAACTGACAAAGTCTTTGATGCATACTCCATCCTTGCAGATTTCTGTAGCAGCTGAGATGTCAGCTCCCAGTTTGTTTCTCTCTGAAGGTCATCTCCCTCCTTGGTTTTTGGTGTCCTGTGATCTTCCTCTGAGGGGATTGCTCCTTATCTGTCCAGCCTGACATATGGACAAACTGGGATTTGGGATCCCTAAATTTTTAAATCAGTCATGATCTTTTCAAATATTCAAATACTGCTTTTGTCACATTCTCTTTACCTCTCTGGGACTCTGATTAGGCTTGTGATTTATCTTCTCAGTCCATCCTTCCTATATCTTGTATCTTGACTGCCTTTATGTTTAATTTTTTTGTTTCTCTGTGCTGTGCTCTGGAAAAATTACTTTTTAAAAAAAGTAAAATGGTCATTTTTCAAGGTAATCCTATATACAGAAAATTATAAAGATACTGCAAAAGAGCTACTAAGTTTAACAAGGTGTTAGGGTACAATTTTAAACATCAATTGTATTTCTATACAGATATAGCAAAAGTTGAAAACAAATTTCAAAAAATCAGAGGCAGATGTAGCCTTCCTATAATGATTAACTTTATGTGCTGACATGGGTGGTCCATGGTACTGATATTTGGTCAAACACTAGTACTGATATTACTGGGAAGGTCCTTTTTAGGTGAGATTAACATTAAACAAGTATACTTTGAATAAATTGGATTACTGTCCTTAATTTAGGTGGGCTATGTATAATCAGTTGAAGGCCTTAAAAGAAAAAAAAAACCCATAAGATTCTTTGAGGAAGAGCTGATTTTGCTTTCAGACTCAAACCTTTGAGTAAAATTTTACTTTTGGACTCAAGCTGAAATATGACTTTTCCTAGTCTCCAGCCTATTGATCTTCCCTGCAGATTTCAAACTTGTCAGCCTCACAACCACACGAGCCAATTCCTTAGTATAACTCTATCTTTACACACATCTTATTCATTCCATTTCTCTGGAGAACTCTAAAATGCTCCACTTTCTGATCAGTCTGCTTATTCTCTCTTCAGCCATACCCAATCTATCATTAAGTCTGTCTCTGACTTATAAAACTTTAATTTTTTATTTCTAGAGGTTTTCGTTTTCTCATGCCCCACAATCTCTTTAAACTACTTGTTAGTCTGTATTCACTATGGTTTGCTTTTGAATGTCCTCCTAAAGCCTTATGTGCTCATAGATGGTGCTTTTGGAGGGGTTAGGATTATGCATGGGCAGCAGACTCACTGTTAGGAGGCGGGGTGGTTGGAAGAGGCGGATCACTGGGGGCATGGCCTTCCCAGCTCCTCCCTTTGCTCCCTGCCTCCTGTCCACCATGCCTTGAGCAGCTCTTCTTCACCATGCCTTGCTGCCATGCTGTCCTGTTTTGGAGCCAGCTGACCACAGACTATAAACCATGAGCCAAAATAAACCTCTCTTTCTTTAAGTTGTGGATATAGGGTATTGTGTCCCAGGGCCAAGGAGAGTAAGACAGTATTAGATGGTAATTATCGCTCCCAGTTAGTCTTCCCCTTCGTTATAAACAAATGCCATGTGACTGTGGTTCTCCCGTTGGGAGGAGTAACTTCCTTGTTCTGTTCAATTGGGTCTTGACTGTGTCTTCAGGCAAGGGAATGATGTGACATACTCCCCAAGCAGAAGCTCTAACTGCCTTTGTAGGGACTGATATTCCTTTTGAAAGCCCTTTGGTACATTCTTCAGCCTAGTTCCTGGAATGAAGAAGTCACTGAGATTAGAGAAGACCCTTAGTTGTCCCCTCATGTAACATGAGCTAGAGACCAGGCTTTGTTTTTAAAAGCCCCTGGGATTTGGAGTTTATTTTTAGCCTGGCAAAGCCGGGAGATTCAGTCTCTTGTGCTTCTCCCTACACTATCAATGGCTTTTTATACTTAAATGTACTAAACACACTCATTGTCCATTTTCTGAGAATTGAGGTCAGCATCTGGAGTATTTGTGGTCTGACTTGGAAGCTGCTTCTTGTTTGTGCTGGCTCTTTCTCATGACACATTCCTTTTGGATTTTGTGATCTCTAGCAGTTAACCCAGAGGTTTTGTTTCACTATCCAGATATGGTTGTTTGAGGCTTGTCTTAGTTATCTTTTTACTGCTGTTACAAAATACCCAACACCCAAAGTTAAAGAAAGAAGGGTTTATTTTAGCTCACAGTTTGCAGGGGTTTCAGCCCATAGTTAGATGGCTTCAAGGCAGGACAGCATAGCAGAGGAGAAATAGCCCATAGCATGGCAGGTAGGAGGCTGCAGCAGCAGCAGCAGCAGCAGCAGCAGCAGCAGCAGCAGCAGCAGCAACAGCAGCAGCAGCAGCAGCCGCCAGTATTCCTTTCTCTCCCAAGGTGGGGCTACCCAGAGCTATGATAAACCAATTAATGGACTAACCCAGTATTACACATCCTTAATCCCAGTATCACAACCTTAATCCACATTCACACATCCTAGATCCAGCCACCTCTGACCACATGTGTGACCACATGAGGCTTTGGGGAGACTTCTAGATATAAGCCATTAACAGCTACAAATCTGCCTGGGGACCAGATTGAGGTTGTAACTTCTTAAGAAAGATGGATTTGCCCCTTCGCTCAGAAACCCAAACCAAAATGATTTCCTTTTAGTTCCTGATAAGGGCTGTGAAGTAGCCTGAGCAATGCCCTGAAGAAAGCAGTATGAGTAGGTAAATTGGACATCCTAGTACCACACCTGGGAATGTGACCTGACTTGTAAAAAAGCTTTATAAACTTGATGAAATGAGTGATCTTTAGAGGAGGATTCTCCTGCATTTTTATCCAGCTAAGCTTTAAATGAAACCACAAGTATCCTTAGAGAAGCAGAGGGACATTATAGATAAAAGAGGAGAAAGTGGTCAGGATTTGGGGGGTCAGGTAGGATTGATTTGGCAACAGCCAAGGAATACTGGAATCTGGAAGAGGCAAACAAAGGAGGATCCTCAGAGCCTCCAGACACCCTTAAACACAGTGATTTCAGCCCCTTGATTCTGAATTTTGGGTTTTGGAGTCCAAAACTGTGAGAATAAGTTCTGTTGCTTTAAAAATCACCAAGAGAGGGTGTGAAGGGGGCTTCCAAGTTCTCCCTTATACATGGGGGCAGCTCTTTGGGGTCTCCATTGAGCCTTCATCTTGGGAGATCCCTGTCTTTGTCTTCTATTGCCTCTATCCTGTGAAGAGGTAAAATCTCACAGAGTTTAATCAGATACTTTCAAAGTGAAAGGTGGCACTTGACTAACTTCTCTAGTTTTGGGGCTTCTGAATATTTTTAGCTCCCTCCTAGGAAATATTTTAGAAGTTGTTTTACAACATCACTCTGAGCATTTTAGTTGATTTCATCTTAGGGTCAGGGAAGTTACCTGGTCCGCCATATTGTGGGGAATGGAAATCTGAACAGCTCTCATATCACTTGAAAAGTGATGGTGGTGTCCCTTCACCACTCATCATGCCAGAGGTATGGGCAACTCATCATTGAAGAGTTGGTCCCCTGATCAACTGTGTTGTTAGGAGGATGGTGCTATGATTGGGATGTAGTTAGCATAAACCAGCCTAGTGGTTTATGTGCTGGAAGCTTGGTACCCCAGGTGTGGGGTTGAGCAGGTGGAACCTTGAAGAGGTGAGACCTAGGGCAAGATTTCATGGGGCTCTACCTCATGCCTCTCTTGGGACTGGATTAGTTCCCGTGAGAGTGAGTTGTTATGAGCAAACCTCACATCTCTGAATCCCTCTTCTGCTCTTGCTCTAGCTGCTGTGATGCCATTCACCATGAGGTCCTCACCAGGGCCAAGGTGATGCTGGGGCCATGATCTTGAACCTCCAGAACCAAGATCTAAATAACTCTTTTCCTTTATAAGGTACTCAGCCTCAGGTATTTTGTTACAGCAATACAAAACTGACTAAAAAAAGATGGCAACTATGTGAAGGGACTTATTTTCAGCACTAAGCAAACACAATTGGTGGGAGTTGAGTGCCAATGTTCAGAGTGGAGGTGAGAAGACAAAAGATAGTGCACTTCTCAGTGTGGCTTATGTCTAGATGACCCCTTCTTGTCATTGTTGGAGCATGGGTCCTTGTTGCTGGATGAGAACAGTCGATGTTCTTATCAGGAGAGCTCTGATCTTTGCCTTGAGTATTGCTCCCTGGTTTCAGTGAAGATTCCTTAGCCTCATGGCACAGATCCTTTATTCCTCCAGTGCAGGCTTTCTAGCTTCTACCACTGGCCTTTGGGACTTCCTGGTGCAGATATCAGAGTTGGGCGATTATAGCCCTCTGCTAATGGCTGCTACCGAGACTTAAGTCCTAGTCCATGAAGTTGCAGGGCCCTGCTGAGTTCACTTCCAGCCAAGGTCAGCTTGACTCCAACTATTTTTTTTTTTGATGATACTTTTTAATTTCATGGGCCCCAAGAACCCATAACAAACAGCCCATGGGTGGGTCACCACCACGTGAAGGTGAACACACAGAAGGGGTTCTCAACTTGTAGCAAAAATATTGTTGGTACAGATGAGGGTACAGCTGCTTGAAGGAAACATCATTGTAGGTATCATAAGATACCTGGTACCCCCAGGCCTTAATGTCTATCTCTAGGCACTGCCGAAGGTCCTTCCTGTCACAACCTAATTTACAGGGCCCAAACTTGACAACTGATATCTTTTTGGATGCCAGATAATATATAGGATCTGCACACCATGTGGCCTGCTCCTCGCTGGACACCACACACACCACCACCTGCGATGCACGCCTCCTCACAGCCTCTGCCCGGGCCAGTCGCAGCAGGAGCTCCAGGTTCTTGCTGTAGCTTGGCATTTGCAGCAAAAACTGCTTCTGGGACACCTGCTTGCCAAATATCTGAGGCATGTCCTCCAAGAGCTTGACCAGAGGCTGGATAGCGTAGATCTGGGCCTCACGGCACACCTCAGGGAGGTGCTGCTTGGGCACCTGCCCACTGTGCAGGTAGTCCAGGATGGGATGGAAAAAGGTGCTGGGGTGGTCGATGAAGAAGTGGCCTTCGGCATCCTTGCAGGCAGAGGCTGGGCTGGAGAGCATCTCTGCCAGTCTGGAGCCAGGGACTTTCCTCAGGGCGTCTGTGGTGGTGGTGAAGACCTGGTCTCCCACATTCAGCTCCACAATGGTAGATACCTCAGTGGTTGAACTTTCCTTGGGATGCTGGGCGGGGGGAGAGCAAGCCGGCTCCCACCTTGGGCTGTTTGCTAGCATGCCAGTGTCAACCAGTTTCAAGGAGAAACAGCTGCAGCTGAGGTCTGATTAAAAGAAAATACATATTCGGGTATAGTCTACAAATTATGAGAACCTGACGAACTTTTCCTGGACCCTGGATCACTTGGTTGGTTGCTTCTGGTTTGTGCAAGTCTAACAAAAGTAAGGAACATTGTCAGATCAGGGCTCTTTGTCCACTAGAGGCAGAGTCCCCTGGCACTCCCCTTCAAAATTATCTTTGTGCCTTTTGTTCATGTTGGTTCCCTGGTTGGAGAAAAAGCTGGTTCCTACAAAAAATGTCTCAGGCTGTAGGTCAGTGGGAGGGCCCTGGGTCCAATCCTTGTTTTCCCAATAAAAAAGCTGAACTATTTCATTTACTTTTTTGAGGTGGCAGGAATTGAAGCCAGAGCCTCACACATGCTAGGTAAGCACCTACTGCTGAGCTCCATCCCTACGCCGATGTCAAATGGTTTCAAACGTGTTATTCCTATGGAGGGAGGAACAGGTCTGCTGTACAGGGCAATCCGGCACAGAGGGAGGGACACTGTCACAGGCCTGTTTGTAGAGGTACTCACACCTCAGAGAGGATGCTGCTGCTAGAACAGCTGCCATTTATTGAGTGCCTATTATGCTCTGGCACTAGGGTAGGTATTTTTTATATTTACATTGCTAATCTTAAACCTTTTCATTCCCACAGAGAGATGAAGAAACGCTAAGGCCACAGGTTAGTAAGTGAAGTGGACAAAGCCCAGGGACCTTCTATTCTTTTAAGCTTCCTAGACCAAGAGCTCCCTTCTGAATTTAGGACCTCAGGCTCAGCAAGTGCCTGGTCAACAGCAGGCAGGGACAGAGAAATACCTGTGGATAGAAGGGACATCAAAAATAGACGTGGTGGTGCATGCTTAGTACTTGGAAGGCTGAGGCAGGAGGATCATCACAAGTTTGAGGCCAGTCTGGGCTATATAGAGAGTTCAATATCAGTCTAAACTACAGAGTGACAACCTGTCTCAAAAAACAAACAAAAAAACCCCGATGAACTGGAGCCTCGAGAATTCACTATCTAACAATAAAACAAATGTGGTACTATTAGTGCTGTTATGGTTTGGACCTTATGTGTCCCTCAAAAGTGCTATTGGGGGGGGTGGGACCTTTAAAAGGTGGAGCCTACTGGGAAAGGAAGTGAGGTCATGGAGGATATCTGGACTCCACCCTCTGCCTCTCCTGCTTTTTTTGGTAACCACTGAGTTTCTCAGTGTCCCCTACTATTTCCACCTCAGCCCCAAAGCAGCAGGATTCAGATACCACAGATGGAAACCTCTGAAACCATGATCCCAAAATCAACCTTTCCTCCTTTTAAGTTGTTTATATCAGGAATTTCATCACAGCAACAGAAAGCTAACACAAACACAGGTTAGACAGAGATTCAAGCCCGGACAGACCTGAGCTATACATGAAACACACATGGGTACAAATAGCAGCCCCTTCATGTCTCCTGAGGGTCCAGTCTCCATCTGTCGAGCCTGGTGCTGGCCATTTTGGACTTGAGGATGGTTTTCTGGTTGGTCTGTTGACCCTGTGAAAGGATCTTATAGCATCTCCATTTTTTGGGGGGCGGGTACTGGGGATCGATCTAGGGAGCTTGTACTTGTGAGGCAGGCAGCGGAACCACTGAGCTAAATCCCCGGCCCAGCATCTCCATTTTTTATTCCTCATAAATATTTATTTTTCACAGTTAAAATCTGGTCCTTATTGGAGTGACTGTAAAAGGCTGAAAAATATTAGTCTTTGTAAAGCAGTGAGTCCTCAGAACGGAGTTTGTCTTTGTTACTTCTGGTTTTGGCTTTTTGAGACAGGGTCTTATGATGTAGGTCAGGCTGGTCTTGAACTCACCACATAGCCCAGGCTGGCCTTGAACTCGTGGACATTCTCCTACCTCAGCTTCCCCAGTGCTAGGAATGTAGGCGGGCGTCACCACCACACCTGGCTACAAGCTAGTCCTCTGGTTGTCTGGACAAGTCCACTGTCTGAGAGTTGTAGATCTGGTGTTTGCTCAGGTGGTCCTGCTGATCTCCCTCTGAGGCAGACTCGGGGAGAGGAGGATCAGTAGGTACTGCTGAGTAGGTTTCCTCCTTGGAAGGTAGCTCTGGGGGTCCTGGTCCAGATGGGGCCTCAAGGCTGCAATTGTCACCAGGATTCTGCTTGCTGTTTTCAGAGGATTCTGTAATGACACTTAGTTTGTCGAAAACTTCACTCTCACCGGAGAGTGGGAAGGAGAAAACCAGAAGTGTGCCATGATGTGGGTGGCCCAAAAACTGCAGAAGAAAACAAAAAGAACAGTTAATTATCAAAAGTTCCCCCACTTTTCTTTCTGGGCTTGCAAGACTTTTATGCAGAACTTCTGGCTTGGAAAATGCTGTTTTTAAAAATGTAACATAAGCTGAGCATGGGAGCACACACCTGTAATCCCAGCAGCGGGAAGTGGAGTGTTATGGCTGGGTCTAGATGTCCCCCCTAAAGCCTCACGTGGTCACAGGTGGGGGAGATGACTGGATCTACAGAGTGTGACACTGGGATTGATTCATGGTGCAAGGCCAGGCTCAAGGGCACCAGGATTAAGGGTGTGGGTGCTGCCTGCCCTAAGTAGTCTGGATAAAGTAAAAGGGAGAGAAGAGGCTGTTAAGGTTTCTTGTTGCTTTGCTTCTGTCTGGATAGCATGAACGGTTTCTCCTCTGTGACACCGCTCTTCCTCGGAGACAGCTGATTATGGACTGAAACCTCTACCAACTGTGAGCTAAATCAACCTTTCTCCTTTTAACTTTAGGTGTCGAGTACTTTGTCTCAGCAATGAGAGAAAAGTAGCAAAGACACTGAGGCAGAAGAATCACTGCAAGTTCAAGGCCAGTTCGGGCTACATAGCAAGGCCCTGTCTAAAAAAACAGTTAAGCTGGTAAATCTTTTCTTTTCTTTTTTTTTTTGGTACCAGAGATCGAACTCAGGAACTTGTGCTTGTGAGGCAGGCAGCGGAACCACTGAGCTAAATCCCTGGCCCAAGAATCTTGTTCTGTGTATTTTATCACAATTAAAAAGATGTGACAATGAGGCATACAACTCATTTACTAAGTGCTTACAGGTTGCCCATAATACTTCTAGTCTCAGTACCCCTCCCCAGGGGCAGCAGGGCTGGGGATCGAACCCAGGGCTTTGTGCTGTTAGCCTGATCACAATACTGTGGGGCCAACACAGCCTGGCTGTCATTTCTTCCAGGAAGCAGGAATGCAGCAGGTCCTGGAAAAATCTGTCTTGGAATAACACAGAGTATCTCCAGCATGTCCTCACCCTTAGTTAGGAGCCTCTCTGGTGTCCCCAGCATCCTGTGTGTCCCATGATTTCAGCCCTTAGCCTTGTGCCAAGGTATGGTACCCAGGAACCAAATGTGGCTGTGTAATTTGGCTAGTTCGAATCAATGTGTACTGTAAGTGTGAAATACATACGGGTGTTGAAGGTCATCTGTGAAAAAGAACATAAGCTATCTTAACAACTTAAAAATGCATTGCTTATATGTGAAATGATGCTCTTTTAGATATATTGGGTACATAAAGTACACTATTAATGTTCATCTCGCCTGTGTCTTTTTACCTTTTATAAATGTGTCCACTAGCAAATCTAAAATGTATGTGGCTCATGATACATTCCCACAAGACAGTGTTGCCTCAGGACATCTGATGGGCACTGACTCGCCACAGCACGTCTCTCCCATGCACAGGGCCAGTTAAAGACAGGGACCACAGTCCAGCCATCCTTGTCTCAGTACTCTGAATGGTGTAGCTGTGCATACACTGCCAGAAATCTCTGTTGATTTTGTGTTCTCTGTTCATCTTCCACAGGGGTCCAGGAATGAATCCCTAAATCTTCGGGATTCAATGGAGAAACATTCTTTAAAGCTTTGCATTTTAACCCACAGAACTTCCTTGCTTTCTTCCTTAATCCATCTGGCTCTTCTCTCCATAATGTCAAGTTTTCTCTCAGCTGGAGTGGAGGATGCCTGCCTTACCTGCTGGTGTGGACCTGTCACTATTCCCCTCCTGGCCCTTAAGCAGCTCATGAAAGAGTGGGGAGGCCAGGGGTACTATGTCCAGATCCCTGCTGGGCCACAGAGGAAGCTAGGAGAAGAGGAAGCTCTCTGAAACCTTACATCCAGGAGACTGGGCTAGAAAGTACCACTTGGCTCTCCTGGGCAAGAGCAAGGCAAGGAAAACGAGAAAATGCATTAAATCTCAAAAAAGCAAGTCTCAAGCTGAGTCTCCTGGTTGGACCCACAGAGACACAGGTGGCCAGCTTGTCATGGTTTATACCTAGATGTCCCCCTAAAGAACCGTGGGATCATAGGTAGGACTTTTGGAAGGTGATTAGATTATGGGGGCTGAAAGCTGGCTCACTAGTAGAAGGTGGGGTCTAGTGGGAAAAGGTGGATCCCTGAGGGTTTACCTCCTTCCCTACTTCCTCTGTTCACTCTCTGCTTCCTGCCTGCCATGCTGTGAGCAGCTTTCCTCCGCCATGTCCTTCTGTCATGCCTTCCTGCCTTGCAGCCAGTGGGTTATGGATTAAAAATGTGAGCCAGAATAAACCTCTCCTCCTTTGACTTGTGAACATTGGGTATTGTGTCCCAGTGAGGACAAAGTGATTAAAACATAGCTCCTAAAACACAGCTCAATATTCTATGATGGATAAGTTTCCCTATTGCTTTTTCATCTCAAAGTCTCCCACCCTGCAAATCTCCCTAAATTCAAATGACTCTACGGGTCATGGTTAACCCACTTTTTTGTTTTTTTGGTACCAGGGATCGAACTAGGGTCCTTGCATTTGCGAGGCAGGCAGCGGAACCACTGAGCCAAATCCCTGGCTTAACCCACTTTTAAGCGATGAGCCAAAGTTGAGAATTTGGTGATGTGGGGATCCCGATCTGCTCTGTAGTTTTTTCCACCCTCACTATCTCGCCCTGCTCTAGCACCCCAAACCCTTTTAGCTCTCAGCTATTATGGGGCCAGTGAGCCTGGGAGGTGACAGTTCTTTCCAGCTGGTCCTTGGATGATGATAAAATTTGTCTTGGCTTTGATTTGCCATCTGTTCTTTCCTGTCTGACTAATTTCTTTGATGGTGAAGCCAACTAGCAAAAATAGGTTTATTTTTTTTCTGGTTCTCTGTTAACAAAACACCTTCTGCCCATAGCAAAGGGCCTGACCTTCATTTTGCCTGTTCCAGTTGTGGCTTTGCAGAAGCTCAGCCAGGAGTTTTCCTGACTCTTTCTGGTGCTGTAGGACTTGAAGGTGCTCTTTTAGAAGAAACACTTGTCTGCGGGCACAAGCACCACTTTCTAAGCACAGTGGGTGCTGTCCTGGGCTGCCCAAGTCCCCTGGAACAAGCATGGGGCCACTTATTCTCAATTTCCAGTGGACAGCTGAGATGGCCAGAACTGAGTCCCGTTCCAGGAGCAGACATGGGCCAGGGAGCAGGCAGCCCTACCCACTCCCCCAGCCTGGTGAGTCATCTACCAATGAATATGCTGACAGAACCCGAAGCTCATGTGATCTAGCAGATCCTCAAAGAGTTTATGGTGAGAAAAAGACTCAGTACAGTTCACAACCAACTCCAAGAGAAGAATCACAATGAAGATCCCAGAGTTCTGGGCCAGGCTGAGGCATCTGCAGCAGATCAGTATATCCTGTTTCAACAATTCCTGGCCAAGACAGAGCCTAGACCATGGGATACTAGGTGATCACGATGCCTCGAAGGGACCAAGACGTAGTCACTTACAACACCAAACTAAATGAAGCTGGGAAGTCACAAAAGGGAAGTCTTCAAGTACAGTTTGCCTGATAATAGGAAGAACTACTGCAAAAGATCTTATAAAACCACGACTTTGCACAAAGGCCACCTCTACTGTGCAACTATGTACAGACGCAAGTTACGGATCCTCAGAGCCAGGATGGTTGCTACAAAACAACCTATTGGACTTTACTCATTTTACCTTTTTTTATTTTTTTGGTACCGGGGATGGAACTTGGGACTTTGCACTTTCAAGGCAGGCAGTGGCACCATAGTTCAATACCCACCCCCCATGCTACCATCCACTCCCTTGGGGGAATTATTCCCAAGGAAATTCCTTATTAAGCCATTAGAATGGTGATCTCTATCTCAGAGCTCATTTCCTGAAAAATGAGACCAAAGATAGGTACTTGGCAAATTTTATTTTCAAGTGACAGTGTTAAGTTATCCCTCAGTTATGTATAGGGATGGGTGCCAGGACCCCTTATGGATACCAAAATCCTTATATAAATATATATTTTTTCTCAATGAGTTTATTGGTACATTTTAGGTATACAGTACAGTTACATTCATCATTGGGATCTTGTGCCTTTACATGACAGGTCTTGGTTCTCATTTTTTCCCCTTGTCACTGCCCTCCCTTGACCCCCTCCTCCCCTCCCTATTTATAAATATTTTATTTCCATTTTCTCATATTTTTTCTTTCTCTTATTATCTTTCCACTACCCTTCCCACTTCCCCTACACCTTTAGCCCTTTTCTTTCTATTTCACATTGTCAATTATCTCATTAGGATCTTATGTACTATTATGGTTTATTCACACCAGAGATTATTTGGTATTTACACAGTGTGACTTACTTATTTCACTTAGGAGTATATCCTCAAAATGTATCCATTTTCCTATTAATGAATCTAATTTCTCATTCTTTATGGCTGAGTAGTATTCTATTTTATAGAAAAAAACACCTTTTCTTTACCCAGTTTCCAACTGATGAGCAAATGGGCTGTTTCCAAGTTTTAGCTGTTATAAGCTGTGCCGCTACAAACTTAGGTGTGCATATATCATTGATATGATTCTTTTAATTCTTTTGGAAAGATATCCAGCAGAGGGATGGCTGGGCCAAATGGAACCTCTAGTCTCAGCTCTTTGAGGTATCTCCATGTTGATTTCCATAGTGGTTGCACCAGTCTGCACTCCCACCAACAATGGAGAAGGGTTCCTTTCTTCCCACAACCCCACCAACATTTGTTATTGTGTGATTTCTTGGTAACAGCCATTCTTTGTGGGGTGAGATGGAATCTCAGTGTTGTTTTCATCTGCATCTCTCGAATGACCAGTGATGTGGGACATTTTTTCATATATTTCCTTGCTGCTTTTACTTGTCTGAGAAATGTCTTTTCATTTCAGATGCCCATTTTTGAATTGGGTCCTTATATTTGGGGGGGGGCTGATTGTTTTGGGTTTTTTATATATTCTAGATAAGAGTCCTTTGTCTGAGGAACAGCTGGTAAAATTTTTTTTCCCCATATTTTAGGTTGTCTCTTAGTTCTGTGGGTTTTTTTTTTTTTTTTTTTTTTTTTTCTGTGGTACCGGCGATCAAACTCAGGTCCTTGCACTTGTGAGGCAGGCCACCAAACCGCTGAGCTAAATCCCCAGCCCTGTTGATGGTTTCTTTTGCAGTGCAGAAGCTTCCTAATAAGATGAGATCCCAGTTGTTGATTCATTCTGCTAGTTTCCATGCTACTGAGGATTTGTTCATAAAGTTTTTTCCTACGCCAATGTCTTCCAGAGTTCTGCCTAACTTATCTTCCAATAAGTTTAGTGTTTCTGTTTTAATATTTAGATCTTTAATCCACTTGGATTTTAATTTAGTGCATGGTGAGAGATAAGGTCCTAGTTTTAATCTTTTGCAGGTTGAGATCCAGTTTTTCCAACACCATTTATCAAAGAGGCTATCTTTCCTCCAGTGGGGATGGTCAGCTCCTTTGTCAAAGATGAGGTAGCTGAGTGCATCTGGAGTTGTTTTTGTGTCTTCCAATCTGTTCCACTGATCCTCAGGTCTGTTTATTTGCCAGTACCATGCTGTTTTTATCACAGTGGCTTTGTAGTATAGTTTCAAATTGGGAATTGTTATACCCGCTGGATGGCTTTTGCTATTCTAGGTCTCTTATAGTTCCAAATGAATTTTTGGATTCTTTTTTGTAGTTCTGTGAAATATAGTGTTGGAATTTCAATTGGCATTGCATTGAATCTGTATAGCAGTTTTGGTAGTATGGTCATTTTCACTATGTTGATTCTTCCTACCCAGGAGCAGGGGATGTCTTTCCATTTTCTTATATCCTCTTCAATCTCTTTTTTTCAGGGTGCTGTAGTTTTCAGTGTAGAGGTGTTTTGTTTCTTTTGTTAGGTTGATTCCTAGATACTTCATTTTTTTGGATGCTATTGTGAAGGGAATTGTTTCCCTAATTGCGCTCTGAGTGAGTCTGTCATTTGTGTACAAGAAGGCTATTGATTTTTACGTGTTGACCTTGTATCCAGCTACTCTGCTAAAAGTGTCAATTAAGTCTAGAAGTCTTTTGGTGAAGTTTTTTGGGTCTTCAATGTAGGGTATCATATTGTCAGCAAATCATGACAGTTTAACTTCTTCCTCTATCTTTATTGCTTTTTTTGTCTTATCTAATTGCTATGGCTATCGAAGAGGAGTGGTGATAGTGGGCATCCTTGTCTTGTTTCTGATTTTAACTTGAAGGTTTTCAGTTTTTGCCCGTTTAATATGATGTTGGCTGTTGGTTTTTCATAGATAGCCTTTATTAAGTTGAGGTATAGACCATCTATTCCAATTTTTTGCAGGGTTTTTATCATGAATGGGTGTTGAATTTTGTCAAATGCTTTTTCTGCATCTATCAAGAGGATCATATGGTTTTTGTCCTTGACTTTGTTAATATAGTGTATTACATTGACTGACTTACGTATGTTGAACCATCCTTGCATCCCTGGAATAAATCCAACTTGGTCAGGATGTATGATCTTTTTTTTTTTTTTTTTAAAGGGAACAGGCCTTTACTAGTCTGGCCAGATGGCACTCCCAGAGCCAAGCAGCTCAGGGAGGTGCCAGCTCAGGGGCTGAGGTCCTTTTTATAAGGGGATAGGCAGAGTGAGGTCTATACTCAAGATGCTTATGGAATGTCAAGGTTTTCAAAACATTCCTTCTGGGCAGAAAATGAGTGAAACAATCTATCTATTTACCCAGAACTACTAAATGTTCACCTGTTAATTTACATTAATCCCAGTTGAGACTAGGATTTAAGATTACAAAGTTATGCAGTCCCACATTCCCCACTGGTTTTAGGTAGAATCAAATCCTTGATTCATCACTTTACTTAAATTTTTAGCTAAGGGGTCATAGCAATTTGTAAAGGCATCTTTTTAGACAGATAAGTTGGGGATTAGGATGTATATCTTCTTGATGATCCTCTGTATTCTGTTTGCTAGTATCTTATTAAGGATTTTTGTATCTATATTCATTAACGAGATTGGCCTGTAGCTCTCTTTTTTAGTTGCATCTTTCCCTGGTTTGGGAATCAAAGTGATACTTGCTTCCAGGAATAAATTTGGAAGCATTGCTTCCCTTTCAATTTCATTGAAAAGTCTGAAGAATAATGGCAGTAGTTCTTCTCTAAATGTCTTGTAAAATTGAATCTATCAGGACCTGGGCTTTCCTTTGTTAGTAAATTTTTAATTTCATTTTCAATTTCACTGATTGTAACTGAGGTGTTTAAAATGTTTTTATCTTCTTTGTTCAACTTTGGTAATTCGTAACTATCTAAAAATCTGTCCATTTCTTCTGTGTTTTTCATTTTATTTGAGTATAGGTCCTCAAAGGAAGTATTAATGATCCTCTGGATTTCTGTTGGATCTGTTGTGACTTCACCTTTTTCATTTCTGATTGCATGGATCTGAGCCTTTTCTTTCCTTTTTTTTGGATAAGGTTAGCTAAAGGTTTATCGATTTTATTTATTCTTTCAAAAAACTAACTCTTCAATTCATTTATTTTTTGTATCATTTTCTTAGTTTCCACTGCATTGATTTCTGCTCTATTCTTTATAATTTCCTCCCTTGTTTGAGCTTTGGGTTTTTCTTGCTCTTAATTTTCTAGGAGTCTAAGGTTTATGATTAGGTTGTTTATTTGAGCTCGCTCTGTTTTCCTAGTGTGGGCATTCAGTGCTATGAATTTTCCACGTAGAACTGCTTTCATTGTGTCCCATAGATTCCTGTATGTTGTAATGGCATTTTCATTTATTTGTAAAAACTGTCTAATTTCTTCTTTAATTTCATCTGTGATCCAGTGATTGTTCAGGAGAGTGTTGTTCAATTTCCATGTGTTTGTGAAGTTGCTATGATTTCTTATGCTATTGATCTCCAGCTTGATTGCTCTATGATCTGATAATATACAGGGAATCACTTCAATGCTTTTGCACCAAAATCCTTATATTAATCAGTGTAGTTTATGTATGTAACCTATGCACATTCTACTGTATACTCTCAATAAAGTCTAAATTACCTATGCAACCTACTACAATCTAAATTCAGGGATTTGGCTTAGTGGTTCTGCCACCTGCCTCGCAAGTGTAAGGTCCACGTTCGATCCCCAGTACCAAAACAAAACAAAATGTTATGCAAATCACTGTAATGCTGTATCATATAGGGAATGACAAGTGAAAAGGCTTTGTACCTGTTTAGCATAGATGCAATTAAAAGATATTTGATCTACAGTTGGCTGAATGCACAGATGCAGAACTCACGCATACAGAGGACAGACTGTATACACAGAATTTCATCTTTTAGGGTCTCTTCAGTCCTGTAATCTTTAGCAAGCTGCATTCTCCTAAACCTTTTGAAAATAGCTTCCCTAAAGTCTAGCATATACTTCCTGGTATTCCAAACCTGAAAACAAATCTCTCTCTCCTCCCACTCTCTCCCTCTGGCTTTTCGCTGGTTCTTAGCCATGAGCTTTCTCTTTCTCATCCTCTCCAGTGTGAGCTCTGCTCTTTCCTTTCCAGCCTCAGAACCATCACCTTTGCTCCTGGTGGACCAGGGCTTTGGGCAGTGAAGGCAGAGAAGGAGCAGTGTGCATGCAAGTCCACAGACGGCTTCTGGAACAAACTCTGGCCTCCAGGTTCCCGGAATGGGAACAAAGGAATGGGCCAGCACATAAGATGTGTGGGATTCTCCCAGAAAACGCGGAGAATTAAGTTGCCCAGCTCTATGGGACAACTCTTTCCAACCAGGGTTTTCCAAACTATGTCTTGCTACACGCTACCTACCTCCTTCAGGTGCTGTGGAAGAGAACTCCCGGGTGAGAAGGTGTACTTGGTCTTCTTGTAGACATACCACAGCAAGGCAAAGCACCCCAGGAGCACGAGCAAGACCACAAAGACCGAGACTATAAGGATGAAGGCCACCAGCCAAGACGGAGTCGTGTCTGCAGGGATCACGGGGTGGATTAAAGTCTTGTCATGCACAGGTTGGCCAGTGATCTTAAGAACCATTTTCACCAGTCCCTGAAATCAGGCCCACACATTCATCCTGGATGGCACCCCAGAAATGCAGGCTCTTTGGAGAATCCAGGGGTTCTTAGTGCGTTTGATACCCTCCTATATTCTTTAAAGGTTGGTTTCTGCCATTATTGCTGATACACTTAACAAGATTTTAAGCAAGAATTCAGATCCATTTCATCTATGCACAGGGTGGCACTGGGCTACCTGTGGGTGGATATAACTCCTCTGCCCCAAAGCAGCAAGCAGACTCCTTGTCCCTGAGCCCAAGGGAAACAGAGCCTGGGGGCAGGGGGCTGGTACTGAAAATCACAATCATTCTGTGTACTGAAAACTTCAAGAAATCTGACCAAGCCCAGGAAGGAATCTAGCAGCCTGAGGCCACAGGGCCATGTCCTTGAGTGGGATCTGGAATCTGGATTTCCTGTCTGAAATCTTCAAGGCTGCTTAGAGTGTAGTATGTCTTGGCCAACGCATCGCCACAGACTCCTGATCTTAATCTGAGAGCTTTTACTAAAAACTGCTTCCATTCCACTGTCACTCTTCCCTCTGTCCCTTTGAGATGTCCGTGTTGTCTCCTAAAACCCAGGAGTGTCCTCTTCGAGAACCTGAGAGCCATTCTTTTGAAACCACCAGGAAGGACAGTCCCTGTGGGACAGCAGAAGCCTGACTTTAATAAATGCAGTTAGCAGACATGGGAGGCCTAATGGCAATGGATTTACTTTTATAATTATTATTTTGGTAGTACTAGGGATTGAACCCAGGGCCTTTACACTGAGCTGTATCCCCAATATTTTTCATTTCTATTTTGAGAAAGCATCCTACTATGTTGCCCAGGCTGAGCCAACCTTGTGATCCTCTTCCCTGAGCCTGCTTGCTCCCCTCCTTCTTCCCTGTAAGACACACAGTCTCCTCTACATAAAAGGAGCTCAGCTCTGTATTGGGCTGCTGTTGGATACGTTCGGGTTTTATTGCTTTAGTCTCATTTGTTTATTTTTCATCCTGGTCATTCCTGGTCTCAGCTCCTTGTTCAGCACCAGGCTGCTTATCCAGCTGCCCTGGCCACCTGGCCTCTGCATGCCTACCTCTCGCTGATGAACATCACCTTTATAAGTGAGGCCAAGAGAACAAACCCTGCTTGTTTAAGGGAAAGTCACCTGAAAGGGACTGTTTATGGGGAAAATGCCAACTGTCCCTTGGACAGGACAGATCAAGGAAGCCTGAACAGGTGCACTGGCTTCAGAGCTGCATCATCTGCAGGCATTTGGTGGCATCTCGGGGCACTTGTCATGGTGTGTGGCTCACAGTGGACACTTCTTAAATATTGGCTTGATGGATGGAATATGGGGCAGAGGCTGGGAGGGACCTGCCCCATCTCTGTCTCCCTCCCTCGCCCTCCTGTGTCTGTGTTTTTGCAGGACTCTCGCAGTTCCCCACGAATTCCTGTTTCAGGGACCAGAATCAGCGAGTGGTTTCTATTCCACTTTCGCTCTGTTCTACTCAGTAGTTGTTTCTCTTCCTTGTAAATGTGGGGTGGGCTAGATTCTGGCTGATAATAGGTATGGGAACCTGGCACCCCAGCTCTTGAGACGACTCCAGGCTTTCGCTTACCCACCATCTCTCAGGCTTCCATTAATATGTCAGTTCTCTCACGTGGCACATGTCAGAGTCACCAGGAAGGCTTGATGAAAGCACACTCAACTAATCCACATCAACATCACGACATCTTACTGATATAATTAATAACTTTCCCCTGTTTCCCTACTATCCTCTCCCATGCCCCCCTCCCATTCCCTTCCTCTTGTCTAACAGCCTTCCTTCTACTTTCACATCATCTTTCTTAGATTCCACATATTGGGGAAAACACATGGCACGTGTCTTCCCGAGTCTGGCTTATTTAACATGATGATTTCCAGTTCCATCCATCTCCAAAAGAAGGTCTTCAGTGGCTACATTTTACCCTTTCTTTTATAAAATGCTTTAATTTTATGAGTTAATGGGTGATCACTTACATTCACAAGTTATTTGAGTTACTGCATTTATTTATTTGTGGTACGGGGAACTGAACTCAGGACCTTGTGCTCCGGAAGCAGGCACGGCTAAATCCCCGGCCTTTCACAAGTTATTTGAAATATTTTTATTTTTAGTCAAACTGTACACCTCCTGTCACGGCCTGCGGGGACCTGTGCGTATCTCACCTTCCGTAACTGAGGTTGCTTTTATTATTAACTATTTGTTATGATTTATATATTATGGGGAGATATCTGAGTCACAAACGCTTTTCACCTAGCACACAACTACTGCACATCTGCACATAAGTGATCAATGTCCTGGCCAATGGGCCTTTTCTTTCTCTTTGTTTTAAGAAACACCAAGTGTGGGTGGCTCTCTGCTAGACATCATGGTCCCCCGTGGTCTCCAAAGCACCATGGTGAGGTCCTGGCTCCATATTTCACCAGGGGACCTGATATAAGTGGCACTGGTGGAGGGCAGTGGTAAGGTTTCCAGTCTCTCTTCTCATGACTGCATGACTGTGCCCCAGGAAAGAAATTTTGGGGGTGTGTGGCAGAGCTCAAGCTCTGCTGGTGATCTTGGGATGACCCAGTAGCTTTCTCCTGGGAGTCTGTGAGGGCAGTTCTGGTAAAGGAGACCTAGGGAGGCAAACCTCAGCTCCCAGTTGGACAACGGCCCCATCAATCCCTTGGTCTAAGCGAATGGCGGCCTCAGAAGGGAGGGGCGGGCTTCTCCCCCCTGACCAATCAGGGCTGGAGACCACGCGGGGCGGTGCCCACTTCTGAACCTGAGGGAGTTAGAACCGTTGGGGTGACTTCCGGTGCCCAGGGGTGGGGACTGCACACCCTGCTGCAGTACTCAGCAGCAGCATTATAAGCTGTGCGTCTCACAACTCACCGTCCTCGGCTGTCCTCTCACACACAGGCGCACTCCATTCCCCAGTTTTGTTCCGATCAGGAAGAAACCCTCGAACTTGAATGCAGTAAGTTGTCCATGGCTCCAGGTTCCGGATGGTCTCAAAGTCGTACTGAACAGTGACCTGAAACTGGTAATAAGATGAAAATAAGACTACGCCTCAACAGTGAAGGGAGAGCATTTTTTTCCTCATCTTTTTTCTCTTCCCATATTGAACAGTTATAAACTCTGCTTTAGGGTTAAAACAGGAAAAGGCAGGTACACGTGCTTCTCCCAGCTCATTCTGGGGAACTGGACACCACTGGAGAGCACAGCAAAGCCTTTGATGCAGACAAAACGCCTCCATGCTCTGATTCCGTGGCTTAAACCATCCCAGTTTCTTTTAAAAAGGGAACCCCATTTCAATGGAATGAACTAAGTCCCATAAAAATCTCATTGCTGGTATCAACCCGTTGTCCCTGGCAATGCAATCTTATTTGGAGTTAGGGTGTTTACTGCGGTGACCGGTTAAAATGAGGTTATGAAGGTGGCTCCCTAATTCAACATGACTGGTGTCTTACAGGAAGACGATGGTAGAAACCAGGTGATAACCCCGACAAACCGAGTAGCACCAAGGATTGTCAGCAAACCCGCAGCAGCTAAGAGAGCGGCTTGGAACAAATCCCTGCAACTTCAGATGCAGCAGACCCTGCAGACACCTTGATCTCAGCCTTGTAGCTTCCAGAACTGATAGACAGTACATCTCTGTTGCCTTAGCTACTGGATCTGTGGTAGTGCCTTAGAGCAAATACTAGTATAATGGTCCCAGGCAGTAAAGATCGATGTGATTTGTTTTTTCCTAAGAACATGTAGAATTCTGATCTCAGCTGCGTGGGCTGGGTCATCTCCTCCTGAGGTCCTGGCTCACTTGAAGACCTCTGCTCTGGCGGCTGTAGTTACATTTCATCTCAGCTGAACCTGGATGTAGGACTTCACAATTAATGAGGTATTTCTGAATTTGAGAAGCTGAAATAGTTCCTGGCAAATAAAGGGAACTAAAGAGTATACAAAGTGAACACAGACTTTTTTTTAACTTCAGCGATTGTTTGTTTCTTTTGGGGTCTGGGCTGTTGACAGCTTGTCAATGTATTTTTTTTTTTCTCATTGAGTTTATTGGTACTTTTTAGGTATACAGTACAGTTACAGTCACCATTGGGATCTTGTACCTTTACATGACAGGTCTCGGTTGTCAGTATATTTTTATCGCATGAGAAATTAAGCTCATTGAGGGCAAGAAGTGAATTATTTCTAATGATACATGAAACAGACGTAACTTTTGTTGCTCGTGGTGTTGTTTTTGTTTTTTTGAGACAAGGTCTTGTTATGTAGGTCAGGCTGGCCTTGAACTCACTGTGTAACCCAAGCTGGCCTTTGAACTCCAGGCGATCCTCCTGCCTCAGCCTCCCAAGTGCTAAAATTACAGGCGTGTGCCACTATATCTGGCACATAGTATAACTTTTAATAAGTCATTTAGAAAGCAATCAAACCAACCAAACCAAAGCAAAAACCAAAACACTGATCTTCACTGCTAATGTCCCTAAAAATTTACAATGTAGTTTTTCAAAGACTAAACTCACAGGTTGATCCCTAAGTGGCTACCAGGCAAGGACCTGAAAGGTCTGTCTTAAGTCACCCATGAGGCTATTTCCGTCCTCTTACTTCTAGGAAGTTTCTAGATTAATGTTCTCACTTTCTCCCATGAGAAAGAAATGGAATTTGTAAAAGCCCTTTGTGCTGTTAATTTAGGGAATTAACACGGCACTATCTCGGAGATATCTAAATACTAGCTTATAAAAAAGGAGCTATGGGGCTGGGGATTTAGCTCAGCGGTTCGGTGGCCTGCCTTGCAAGCACAAGGACCTGAGTTCAGTCCCTGGTACCAAAAAAACAAAAACAAAAACAAAACAAACAAACCAAAACCAAAAACCAAAACCAAAAAACAAGGGAACCATATAACCAGTAGTGGTGACACTGCAGGCTCCTTTCAGGGGGCAACTAAGGAGCAGGTGGCCTTCTCAGAGTCTGTGCATCATACTGAAGAGTGCTTTTCTTGCTTTCTGTTAGTGTACACTGGTTACACAGATGAATGGGTTTCACTCTGGCAGATGTGTGCTGCACGTAACATACTTGCATCATTTCCTCTGTCACTCCCTTCGCCCCACTCCCTGCTATACACTGGAGGTTTCCACACAACCTGGCAAAGAGGGGAAGACAAACGCATGACCAGGTGCCTGTGCCATGCACATGATCTAGTGAGGCGAGACTGGCATGTCACGCTTGGTAGAGGAGGCACTCAGCCATGGTGACTGTGCAACCGGATCCTTATGTAGAAGATAGTGTAACCCTGGAAGCCAGTCACTGGGTCTTCAGTCCTAGGACTGAGCAGAGACACCTGCACCTGCTAAGTGATTAGGAAGCTAAATATTCTGTATTGCCGCTTTCCAGGCATACACTTCCTGCTGTCTTGACTATAAGCAAAACTGCCCATTTTGTGAAGGAGGCAGATTTCCTGCATACCACGGTTTGAATGTACGTGTCCTGCTCAAATTCATAAGTTGAAATTTAATCCCCAAGGTGATAATATTAAAGTCCTGTGAAAGAGCCCTCAAGAATGGGGTTGGTGACCTTATTAAAGAGGAGCGAGGCTGCTGTTCACCTCTTTTACCCTTTCACCTTCTAAGGACACGGCAGAAGGCTTTCACTGGGAAGCAGAGACCCAGCTCTCACTGGACTCTGGTGTCTTGATCGTGGACTTCCAGGCTTCAGAATCATGAGAAATATCGTCTACTGTTTATAAATTATTACCAAGCTTGTGGTATCTTACTATCAGAGCAGAAGCACACTAAGACGCTACATCATTCAATGGAGAGTTTTGGGGGAAAAGTTAACTTGATTTGCTTTGGTTATGCAGTATATGTGTGTAAGTTTCATGACATCATCGTAAGGCAATAAACCTGGGTTATCTCTTCCTTCCAAACTCTTGAGAATTAGCTGATTAATATATCTTATATAACAGATATGTAAGTCAGTTTAGGACCATGAATATCAGTCAGCTCTAAACTACTAAGTTTGACCCTGGATACATGAAGAATCCTGGGTTCCTCAAGAAGGGCAGGGAACCTCAGGAAGTGACCATATACATTGTTCTAGGCAGTGGCACAAGTTTTACCTTTTTGATTTTGTTATCAAATTCCTCAATAATCCTATGAAGTAGGGTATTCTAATCCCCATTTTATTAATGAAATAGGTTATTAAGCCCATTTTGTAGACCTGGGGAAATCAAGATTGAGATCGCTAGAGACCCATGGTGGCAGGGACATATTTTGGTCAGGTCTTTTAGCTCCAAGCCTGCGTTTTGAAAAAAAAATTATTCCCCCAGAGAAGACTGCAACAGAGAAAATGGGTAAGAAAGGTAAAATGTGATACTGTTTACCCAGCATCCTGGGATGGGGGTGCTATGAATTCAGGGTACTCATATGCAGTATGCATGGGGCACCGGGATTTGGTGCCGAGAAACAGCAAACATTCAGCTGATCCTCTGCTTCAGCTGACCCCAACTTCCCCCATCCAGTTGCTGACTCAGACCTGCTTCTTCTGCAACTTCCCTTCAAGAGAGAAAGGTTAGCTGCTCTTATGTAGAATACACCCTGCAAGTCCGATTTATGTATCTCCCTTGGGAGTCTGGGAAGGTTGAGCCCAAAATACCAGGAATCCCACAGCTTGGGAAGTTTATGGCTTTGAGAATGGGACCTAGATCCCTCTGGGCCACGGGTGCTGTCACCTTGCAAGACCTCACCTGGGTGGACTCCTGGTCTCCTCTATCATCATGGCCTCAGACTGAAACTGCACAAAGCATGCATATGACTAGGCAAGCGTACCTTCTCATCAGTGCCGTTTTTCCAGAATTGCACATTATAAACCCACGAGTCATAAATCTTCCTCATGGTCCATGTGTAGGGTTCATTTTCAAGTTTAGGGGCTAAGAAGCGCATCTGTAAAGAATCAGCAAGTGCTTCTACATGTACTGCAGGAGGTCCAATAATGGCTAAGTATGAGAACGAAGGAAAATGACAATCAGAACCACATTTTACAAACTTTACTTTAGCATTAAGTGTTCACAACTGCGCGGGACAATCAGTTGACTAAAGTACACTGCTGTTGACAGAGCACTGCTATGACAATGACTGAAGTGGTTAAGGATAGATGGATTTGATTTCCTTAAAGAAACCTGAACAATCTTTATTAAACAAGTTTAGTCCATTTATGTTTATTGCAATTTCCAATATATTTAAAAGTATTCCTACTATATTATTTTATGCTGTCTATAAAAATTGCTTTTTAATATTTTATTTTATTGGCTCCTTCTCCTTTTTATGAGCCTAAATTTTCTTTTCCTTGCTGGGCTGGAGGCCACAGATGGTATTTCTATTATCTTTTCTGGTTACCTTTATGTGTTTAACACATGTAGTTAACCATGTATTCTTCCAAATTATCTTTCACTAGATACTCATGTGACTGTCCCTCTCACTTCCTCTGGCTCTCTGGTCAAATGTTACTACCTCACAGACTGTGTCTCATCACCCTATGTAAAGAGTAGCTCCCATCTCTTCCTATCCTGTTAGCTTGCTTTGGTTTTCTTGAGAGCCACAGCTACAACTTGCCATAAAATACCCATCTGTTTGTTTATTATCAGTCTTTTGATGAGAATAGGCATTTTGGTCTTTGCTGTTGTGGTTTCAACACTAAGAATGTGCCTGGCATACAGTAGGTGGTCAGTAATAACAGACACTGAAGGAATAATAAATGGCTCTGGGAAACTGCTGTATGAGTCATGTCCTGTATTCTTCTTTGGCCCTGATACTTTTGGGGGAGATGCTAATAAGCCCCTTTCTACCATTCTAATCTGCTAGTCTGAAAACTGAACAAAACAACTTGGTAGGTATTTTTTCAAAGCAAGTCTGAATAGGTTTTTCGTGATATCTAATGTCTAAAACATATAAACTTCCAGAGGTGAATATCTAATACAAGGTAGGTATGGCCAAGAGCCCGAACACAGGAGCCTGAGTTTGAATCCTTGCTCTGCCACTTACTGCCTGTGTAAACCTTCAACAAGCTGCTTAACCTCAATTTCTATAGAAAATGTCCTCAAATGGGACTTAGGGTAGGGTTTGTTTGTTTGTTTCTTTTTTTTTTGGTACTGGGGATTGAACTCAGGTCCTTGTGTTTGTGAAGCGGGCCGCAGAACCACAGAGCTAAATTGCCAGTCCTGTTTGTTGCTTTTTCAGACAGGGTCTTGCTGTCTTGAGGGTCAGGCTGGTCTTGAGCTCCCTATGTAGCCCAGGTTGGCCTTGAATAACACTCATGGCAATCCTCCTGCCTCAGCCTCCCGACTGCTGAGATTACAGGTACATGTCACCATGCCAGGTTCCATGCACATTTAACTTAAGACATTTTTGACATGTGATGGTGTTATAGGAATGTAACCCCACCGCAAGTCAAGGAGCATCTGTAGCATGTTTTGAAGACTTGATTATTTGAGTCTGTATTCTTTTGTTTGTTTTTACAAAGAAACCTTTAGGAAAGATTATGTAACTTTGATAATTTCTGACTCCAGAAACAGGTATTTGCTGTTGTTGTGTTTGTTTGCTGTGATGCAACTGGCATCGAGAGGAAGGACACCGGCTACATCCTCTACCAGAAGGTGGGAACTGTGAGAGTCACTCAGGATTGGGGCAGGGACTGACAGAAAGATGCCTCCCTGGAAAGAACCCTTTCAGTGCTTCCCCCACTGCTCCTTGAGGGGCTGGACCTGAGCTTTGCTGCAGAGGACCTTGTAACTTCTCAATCCTTTATACTCTCTCAGTTGTTTCCATTGGTTTAATGTTTTTAATTCCTGATGTCCCAAATAGGGTCACCTTAGGGCTTCTGGTAGTGCTGTGTAGCCTTTGATTTATCCTGGGAGAGTCTGAAGTTTCCCAGCCAGCCTGCCCAACCCGTCTGCTGCCAGCAGCGTCTCTCCCTCCTGTCCTTCCCGTGGGCAGGGTGCCTGACTGCATCTGCCTCCACACCTGCCTTGACTCTTTGAAGTCACAGTTCCAAAAATGACTTCCTCCCCACAAACTGCCACCGGAATCCTTCTAGTTCTTTGCATTAACAGCACTGGCCTCACTCAGTCACACTCTTGAGGCAGTGAAGTTATTAAATGTATAGTAGTTATCTTATTGATGATACATGTATTCTTTCTTGTCTCACGCACGAACTTCTTTGTTTTTTGGTGCTGGATATCGAACCCAGGCCCCACATAAGCTAGGCAAGTGCCTTTCCACTTCACCACATCCACACCCCTTTTAAAAACTGCAGACAGGTTCTTGCTAGGTGGCCCAGATTAGCCTCACATTTGCAATCCTCCTGCCTCAGCCTTCTGAGTAGCCAGGATGACAGGCATGCACCACTGTGCCCGACTGCCTGTGAACTTCCTTAAGGCCACAGCTCTCTCCGTTACATTCCCTAGTGCCCTTGTGCAAAGCCATCCCATTCACAGGCATTCAAAGAATTCTTGTGGACAGACCAACCACCGTGGGGAAAAACCCAAGACAAGATGATGACATACAACACAGTGAAAAACAGGATAGCTTACTGTCATCCACGGGACAGAAAGTGATGTTTACCCAGTCCGACTGCTCGTCTGCAAACTCTGCCCTGACTCTCAAGGTGTGGTCCCCGTACTTGGAAAGATTTGAGAAATCACATTCCGTGGAGGCCGTGCTCTTGCATACTTCTTGGAATTTCTTATAACTATACAACCAGAAAGACAAAGTCACAAGAGCTCTAACTTCAGTCTCCTGAAGCCGACTGGTATTTTTATACCCTTTGTACCACAGACTAATGGATGTTAATGAGAGACATGCAAAGTAATTCTTAATGATCAATCTTGATGACAGAATGCATAATTCAAATTAGCATTTCCCAAACTATGCTTTGGGGCTTTAATGACCCTTGGATATCAAGGCATTTCAAAAATAATATACTGCATGGTCAAATAGTTTGGGGGGTAACACTTAAAAGTATAAAAATAGGTATCTTTTAAAATTTTTATTTTTCTTAGTATATATTTGCAGTATATAATACATTCATTGTGCGGAGCTGGTACATGAACATACACATTCTTGTTTTCTTCCCCTTCCTTTCTTTTCCCTCCCCTACTTCTTCCATTTTTTGGTCCCCTTTCCCTCTGCAACGGATCTCTAAAAAAAGGTATCTTCATAACAGAACTTTCAAGGGACTTTAATATTTTAATAAGCATGTGCCTCTCCAAAGAGATTGTGTATTCCTTGATTGTGTATTTCTGAAAGCACAGGGACATGATTCATGACATGCGGATATCCACAGATTAACTAAAATAACCGTATTGTTATGATATGAAACGATGTCCTAAAATCATCAGCATTGCAATAATTCTGGAAAAATTATAAGGCATCACATCAACCTCGGCAGAACAGCAACCCCAACTGCACCCACCGAAGGGAGGGTGGCAGCAATGACACATGAAGGAGAAAGAGGATTACATTTGGAAGTATGCACTGGCAGTAAAGCAAATTCTGTGTCTAATGACTTCACCCACGGCGGCCTGAGCAGGTGTCATTAGCTCCAATGACCAGAGGACAAGGCTCCCTTCTGGGAGGTGCACAGGTTGTCAGTCTGGTCCCCACTGCACCTTCCTGTCTAGGCGCCAAAGCCATCACGGCTGCCCTAAAAGTGACAAAGATGGTGATGGTGCTGGTGATAAGAACAATAACAGCAACATTAATGGAGCTTGGGGACTGCGTGTGGAGAGCCTGGCGATGCCTAGCCACACGCAGGTCTGTTCGATTTCAGAGTCCTGGGGGCTGCGTCACACTGCGTTGCATTCTTAGTGACATCCAGAACAACCCACTGCAAATAGGGTAGGCACAAATGAGATCTTATTAGCTTCCAATCTGCTTTTCCCGCGTTGTATACCACAAACATTTTGTTAATCAAATCAACTCTTCATGGCCGTCCATCATCCCATTATCCAGGAACTCCAGAGGTCATTTGACTAAGGGTTTTCTCACATGTGGTCATTCGTTGTGTAAGCTAACTTACCAGTTGCTGGACACACACAGCATTTCAAAAGTTGTTTTACAATAACGTCTCTTTCATTAGGTTATTTGTATTGAATTTATAAATATTGTTCTCTGCAATTAAATAGGTAATAGGACTTGTTCCTCATATTTACATGAAATTATTGGTTATTCCCATATTGAAATCACCAATCCATCCTTTAAAGGGCTCCATTCTACAGTAACCTCAAAGCACATGTTACAGAGAACTCGTATGTGCAACTACTCAGGCTAAATCCTAAGCAACCGTTTATGGAGCCACAGAAGAGCAATCAGGTCTTTCAAGCTTGATCTCTTCGCCAAGGTTATGCCCAGCACATGCTCTGTTCTACCTGGAGTTCCTGAGCTTTCAGGAAACCGGGGGGCTCAGGCAAGACTAGAGGTCAGTACCACCACCTGCCCCCACACCATTACCAAGTCACAGGGTCCTCTCTTCTAAAAGACAACACCCTAAACCAAGCACAGCTGCTGCGCCAGCAGGCAGGCAAGGCACAGAGCCACAGGAAAAAGTTACAGGGAAGAGAGGAGGTGCTGTGCTGGGTTTCGGTTTGTGACCTCTGAAACTCATGCGGGAGTCTAGTCCCCAATGAGGACGGCAGAAACTTAGTTAATGGTGGTGCTTACAAGAGAGGACTTCTGGAGGGATTAATCTAGATGAAGCCATCAGCATGGAGCCTCCGTGACTGAATCCTGGTGGCTCCAGAAGGAGAAAGAGACCTAAGTGTACACACACGTGTCCCTGTCTCTCACCATGCAATGCCCTGTACCACCTTGGGACTCTCCCAGCAAAAAGGCCATTGGCAGAAGCAGCCTCTCAGCCTTGGATCTCTACAGGTGCGAGCCCAAATAAACCTCTTCTCTTTATGAAGTACCCACCTCAGGCATTTTGTTATAGTAATGAAAAGCTGATTAATACATGAGGGAAGTTGATTTTCCACGGTGAAATCTCTGTGGTTTTCCAGATGGAGTAGAAAAAACAGAGATAAAATGATAGAAACATGCAGTACTAGATATGCATCCCAGAAGAAAAAAAGTTGTAAAATGACCCTTCTTTAACTGTTGCATTCTGGACTGTAGACGATTAAAGTACTGCATCAGTGTTAAAGGTCTTGAACTGCACTCTGTGATGGAAAAGATGATCCTAGCTTTATGGAATAAACATTAAAATGTTAAGGGGCAAAGGTGTGATGTATAAGAGAAAGAGAAAATGTGGTGAATATTAACAAGTGCCGGATCTGGACAGAGATATCTGGAAGATTTTAGTAGTACACTCAAAAATGTGAAATGTTTTTGTGGTGGTTACGGTGGAGTTTCACCTTGATTGGCTTTGGGGTCTTCCCCAGGGACAGGTGGAGCACACTTCTAGGTGTATCTGGGTGGGTCATGGAGGGTGGCCTTGGGGTCTATGTTTGGCATTTGCCCCTTCTGCTGTGGCACTGTTCCTCTGCTACGCTTCCTGGTCACCATGAACTAAGTAGCTGTTGTCTGCCAGGTCTTTCTGCCCTGGTATCTCTGCCTTGAAGCCAGCCAACATTGGACTGAAACTGCCAGCAAACTAATCCTTACCTCCTTTAAGTTGTATTAGGTATTGTGTCTTGGTGACAAGAAAGCTGTCTACTATGATTCTGCTAATATGAAATAATAATAATTTTGGTACCGGGGATCAAATTTGGGACCTTGCACTTTCAAGGGCAGTTGGTGGAACCACTGAGCTAATAATTATTTATA